TCGCGCCCGGCGTCGCCATTTTGCCTCGCCGCCTGCGCCCCGGTAACGGCGGCGCCCGCAACGGGGGGGTTATTTTTTATTATTTTTTATTATTTTTATTATTTTTATTATTTTTATTATTTTTATTATTTTTATCTTTTTTACCCCTCTTTTTGTTTTTTATTTTTGCCCCATGCGGGGTGTCGCCCCGCGCCCGGTCCCCCCCGCCGCCTTGCGCGGGGGTCCCCTCGGTGACAGGCGGTGGCACCGTGGGTCAGGGAGGACGCGGGAGGCCGGGCCCAGCCCCGTGAGGGGCAGGTGACAGGGCACCCGGCCACCGGCGTGACAGATGGACAGGAGGTCAGGACGGGGTGGCCGGGAAGGTGACAGGAGTGATGGAGGGACCCGGCCACGGAGGTGACAGGCGGACAGGGTGGGCAAGCCAAGGGGATGGCGGGTGGATGGCATGGCCCGGACACGGAGGTGACAGGCGGACGGGGTCACCAAGGAAGTGACAAATAGTGGCCAGGACAGGGAATTGGCCAGCGGATGAGATAGTTGTGGAGGTGACGAGTGGACAGGATGACCGAGGATGTGACAAGCAGGCAGGGTGGTGAGGCCAAGGGTTGACCAGCAGAGTGGGTGGTTGAGGAGGTGACGGGATGGCCAGGGAGGTGACAAGCGGGCAGGATGGTCAGGCCAGGGGGTTGACCGGCAGACTGGGTGGTTGAGGAGGTGACGGGATGGCCAGGGAGGTGACAAGTGGGCAGGGTGGTCAGGCCAGGGGATTGACTGGCAGACTGGGTGGTTGTGGAGGTGGCAGGATGGCCAGGGAGGTGATAGGACACCAGAACGTGGAGGTGATGGATGCATGGGGTGGACAGGTCAGGGAGGTGACAGGCAGACAGGACGGCCAGGCCAGGGAGGTAACGAGCAGATGTGACAAACAAGCCAGGGAGGTGACAGGCATTCGGGATGGCACGGCCAGGGCGGGGGTGGTTGGATGGGACAGGGTGACCAAGGAGGTGATCGTTGGCCAGGACAGGGAGATGATGGGCAAAGGACTAGCCAGACCAGGGAGGTTGGACAGGATGACCAAGGAGGTGACACTCAGATTGGATGGCTAAGCCGGGGAGGTGACAAGTCATCGGGTGTCCCCAGCCGGCCCAGGGAAGGGACAGCTTGACCAAACATGCATCTCCTCGTGCTACCAACACCCAGGGCGAGGGGACCCTGGGGACGCCCTGCTCACTGCAGCGGGCACCCATCACCATGACCCTGTGACAGAGGTGACACCCATGGTGGCCAGGGCAGACCCGGTTGGGGACATCCCCGTCCCGCTCCATGCTGCTGCAGGAGGCGGCAGGCTCCGAGGAGGCCGCATCCCGGCTCCGAGGAGGCCGCATCCCGGGAAGTTGCTGCCGCTCATTGTCTGCTGCTTTTTTTTGTGTGCGTGTGTGTGTGCGCCTTTCCCATTTGCTTTTGTGCCTTAGGATGGGCGAGGGGGAGGGACTTGCTAATGTGTTTCAAACAGAAACTTTAAACCATCAAAAGCTTCACCCACGCCCAGAAATAGTCACTTGGCTGAAAGACAGCGGCTTTATGCTGCCTTTTTTTTTTTTTTTTTTTTTTAACTGGAGGAGGATTATTTCCTTGAAGCGCCTTCGCAGGGGGATGTCAAACGCGGGAGCTTGCAGTCCCTGACTTTTACACAGGTTTTGTTCCTTGTTTTTGCTCTTTAGGAGTTGTGTGACCTAGAGCAGGAGCCCAGATCTCACAAAAAGGCACTAAGGAAAAACAGGTCCTGGGGTACCAGGAAAGCAGCTGAGATCAGGGAGCTTCATTAGGCTGCATTGGCCACGGGGTCCTTGTGTCCTCCCTCCATGCACCCGCTGCTCTGGTGCTCCGCAGGGCCGGGATGTGCCCCTTGCCTCCCGTTTTGGTGTTATCCACCCCTGAGCATCRCCACAGGCCCTTTGGAACCGATGTTAAATTATTGGAGCGTGTTGACCGGCACTGGGTCCGCGTGGGCATGGCCTTAGCGATGGGGCTCTGGGTGTCCAAATCCTGTCCAATTTCCTCCCTCTGTATCCRTATGGATGGAGAGGGGATGTGGGGACTGCAGCAGGGTGGCAGCCGGCCGGGCGAGCAGCGTTCAGGCACGGCCGCCTGCGCCCTCCTGTTCGCCCGCGCCAAGGTAACGATGTGTGTTTGTGCAGGGAGTTATTCCCTGCTTTGCAGTCTGTGTCAGACTGACCCAAACCCGCAGGCGGTCGCCGTGTGTTGGAAGTGCCAGTCCGTGTGCTCAGCACGGCAATAGGGGTGTTTTCCGAGAGTAAAAAGCCTCTCTGGTAAAGCAAAGTGACGTTGCCTGCTTCCCATAGCTCTGCTGGACACTGCTTTCTTTTTTTCCAGAATGGGAATGATGCTTTAAAAGTGCTTCCTCTCATTCTGCTCCAGGTGCCTCGAGCTGAGCCGAAACGCTGATCCAGGAGCCCCTTCGGAGGCCCGTGCGCTCCCGCCGCATCCGTGTGGTCTGTCCCCCGCCTGCTGCCCCACTCTGATGGCACGAGTGTGACGAGTCCTCGCACCATGCACAGTAAGGACCTACCCCGATCTTCTTCTACTGCCTGAGTTACAAAAGGGCTTTAACCAAAATCTAACAAAAGCACGGAAAGATGCAATCTGTTGTCTGCTTTCGGCATGTGTTAGGCCAAGGCGAGTGAGAAGTTTGGACATTACAGAAAAACAATGGGCTGATTTCTGCTGTATGGCTCTGGGGCGATTCCTGCGGGATCCCTGGRGTCGTATCGGTGGTGAGGGAGTGGAGTTTGGCTCTTGCTAAGTGGTTTCTTGGCTTTTATTTTTCATTTAGCCAAAAATAAGAAGGGGGAAAACATTCAAAGAAGTATTTGGTGTGGAAAACAAAGACGTTTCAACCATCCTAAGCTGGCCAGAAAGGATCCCTTTGAGGGGACAGATGTGTTAAGGGGCACAGGCAGGGATTAGCTGTTGGAGGGGGTGTTTGGGTGGCTGTGTGTGGCTCCCACCCTGGCTCCTGTGCTTTAGCTTACGCTGCCCTTGGGTGTTAAGGAAATAAGCGAATCTCTGTGCAGCTTGGCCTGTCCCTGCTTCTGCAGCATCGCCTGGATCGCTCCCTGCAGCATTCCTGAGATCCTGGAATGCCAACAGGTCCGGGAAGGGATCCTGCCCCTCTGCTCAGCTCTGGGGAGGCCAAACCTGGAGTATTGGGGGCAGCTCTGGGCTCCYGGGAACAAGAGGGACATGGAGCTTCTAGAGAGGGTCCAGTGGAACAAAGATGGTTAAGGGACTGGAGCATCTCTTGTATGAGCAAAGACTAAGCGAGCAGGACCTGTTTAGCCTGGAGAAGAGAAGGCTGAGAGGGGACCTGGTCAATATGTATAAATACCTGAGGGGAGAACGTAGGGAGGAAGGGGCCAGACTCTTCTCAGTGGTGGTCAGTGACAGGACAAGGGGCAATGGGTGTAAATTAAAACACAGGAAGTTCCATCTGCATGTGAGGAAGAACTTCTTCACTGTGAGGGTGCCAGAGCCCTGGAACAGGCTGCCCATGAAGGCTGTGGAGTCTCCTTCTCTGGAGAGCTTCCAAACCCACSTGGATGCGAGCGGGTGCTACGAGCTCTAGGTGTCCCTAGGGTTGCACTAGATGATCTCTAGAGGTATCTTCCAATTTCAGTCATTCTGGAATTCTGGGTTCTTCCCAGGCAGCCGGCACTGGGAGCCCGAGCGTGACCGACCTCCCAGGCAGCATTTGCCCAGCATGTAATCAAAGTGATCTTCATTGAAACTGCCCCAGTATGTACAGTGTTTATGTGGCAGATATGGTGATTATGCTCTGCAGAGTGTCTAATTACAGCCTGTCAGGTAGGCAGGAGGGGTTTTATCCCGAGCTCTCCCTTCCGCCACTTTCCCTCTCTCGGAAGTGTCTGTGTCCCATCACAGAGCTGCTGTGCTGGTCACTTGTGGCGAATGTCACCTCCTGTGACCAGGCTTGTTTGTTGAGATCCAAAGGTTGTTGCATCCCGGGATCCCTGGGCCTTCCCGGCGCTGCTGGCGCAAGCAGTGGCAAGTGCACGAGCCTCCTACCAAAGGAGCCCAAATTAGCTGCATAATCACTGCTGTATTCAGCACCGAATGCCAGAGAACCTGTTGCCAAGCCTGAAATTTTTCATTTGATCGGATTAACCTTTGTGTCCGTGCAAACAACCAAATATTTGTCACCAGCTGAACATGAGGGCCTTGCCGGAGCTCCTCAGCGTTTGGTTTGCAGCAGGCAGCACCCGAGGCCGCCCTCGTGTCCCGCGGGACGCCACAGGGACCAGCTCCGATGCTGCCCAAAACCTCAGTGTCCCTCAGCACCTACTGCCTTGTCTTGATCTGGCCCTTGGTTGTCAAAGACGGTATCTCAAGCAGCGAGGCTGCGTGTCGGGCTGATCCTGAAAATCACCTCGTTGCCTCCATTCTTGCACCTCTTCCTGGACGCTCAATTCCCGTGGGATCTAGGAGCAGGGAGAGAAGGGAAGGAGATGCCTGTGCCTTGGAGATGCTCCAACCACCCTGCTGCATTTGGTCCTGTCAGGCTGAGCAGCCTGTTGAGCGACCTTGGAGCCCTCCCATCCAGGCCGCCCTTCCAGCCTGCAGGGAGCAGGGAGGGCTCCGCTCGGCTCCGCTCCTCAGCTTCCCCGGAGAGGGATTTGGCACCATCTTCTAGACACCAGCAAGAGGAGCTGTGTGTTTTTTGCATTACAGAACACATTAAATATCAGTGTAAGCAGATGGTCCRAAGTCATCTTTCGCTCTGCCCCTGGATTCCAGCAGATTTGTAGACACGGGCAGGGTGATTTGGCTCCTTCGCTGTCACTGTCCTTTGCAGCAGACCTGGGCCAAGGCGGGAGCTGCCGCGGATCCGGCTCCCACTCGGGTGGACGCAGCTCAACTCGGCAGTGCTGAAGCTGCCATGTGCTCCCCAAAGCCACCAGCTGCTCAGCGCTCCAGGAAATTCCACTTGCATTTTAAGAGGCATTTCCAAAATGGAAAAGCGGGAGCGTCGTCTCCGCGGTGGCCGGGCATCCCTCCTTCTTCCTGCGTCGTAGCCAAAGGGGGGCTTAATCAGTGCCAGCACGTTCAGGTGACTCATTGGAGCCAACTGTTGCTCCTCTGTTGGTTTGAGCCTGACGGGCTTTGGGCTTATTGTGCAGCTGTAGACATTGGAATAAACTCGGGCTTAATTCTGCCACCACTGGAGCTGAGAGTTGTCCCCTAGCCTGCGTCCACCGGGAGCCAGAGTGGGCCCTTTGCGATAATTTCTGACGTCCATTATTTATAGAGAAGCCAAATTGAATTATTAATACGGAAAATTTAGATAACATTAACAATTCTCAGTTTATAATAGTTTCCCATTAATAACGAAAATTGGAAATTTATCACTACATCTACTCATTAAAACTCACTATTTTTTTTCCTTTGGTGTTTTAAATGAAAGTGTAGAAATAAACGAAGGGGAAAAGCCATTTATTCGTTGCTTCTTTGGAGGAAGCCAGCCCATAATTTTTAATAAAGTCTTTGCCATTRTATGTGGAGAGAAAACAGGGTGCAGTGAAAGCAGCTCTTCAGCCGTGTCTGTGGCGTTGCTCAGCCATACAGCAAGTGCTTAGAAACACATCCCATTTCTTCTCTTTGTATCAACGCTTGGCTGTCTGGTAGTCTCCTAAATCCCCTCCCTCTCCAGCAGCTCTCCTTGTTTTCAGCGTGTGTTTTTCCYGGCATCATGGAGCTCCGTGTGAGTTTAATTCATCCGCTGCTCGTTTCAGAGATGGGCGATTCCTATGCCTGTAAAGGTGGAAGGAAAACTGCAGGCTCGAACAAACCCACGGYGAGCAAAGAAAGGACGGATGCGAGGATAAATCCGCCAGCAGAGCTTCCCAAGCTCGGTAAGGAAGAGGGTTTCGATTCCATGGAGGTGAAGAGGAGGGAGGGGACAGGGTGCGAATGCATCGAGCCTSCTGGTGTGAGCGGCTCGGTGCAGCCTCCAAGGGCCCAACGAGCAGCGTTGCTTGTGCTGGACCACGAAGGCCACAAGCCCCTGGACCTGTAGGGAGCATTTCCCAGGAAATGGGGAATGCCAGGAAGGGAGGGAGAGGGATGGTCTCTCTCTCTAGAGGGTTGTACATCCATCTAACGAGGTGGGTGTCTTGCTGTCCATTTATCACGTTGGTAGCTAAGTGTTACGTGGAAGGGTGGAAAGGCTTAAATGAGTTCAGACCATCTGCCGTCTCCTGTGTCACATCCCCCGGGATGTCGGCTCGCGAGCGGGCGAGCCCGGGCACCAGCTCACAGAGGGCTGTCGCTGTGATGAATAGCCTAGAATTCCTCTATCCAGGAGTTTCTGGGCCCAAGGAGAATTTTATCCCGTCTGCTTGTGCCAGGCAGTCTTGCAGTGCCCTGCAGTGCTCACGAGGCTGGTGGCCCTGGATGCTGTGGGCAGAGCTGAGGCCGTGCCGGGTCCAGACGCGATTTTGCTGCGTTTGGGCAGCTCTGAGCCCAAGGTTTGGCGGGGGCCTCTTCACCTCTTGCCTTGGTTTGAGCCAGGGGTTGAGCCATGTCCCCATGAGGGGACACAGCCGGCTGCTCCATGTGGTGCCCAGGAGCCGTCCCAGCACTTGCCAGGCCCCAGCAATGGGAAAAACAGGCCCCAGCGACGGACCTCACAGTGCGCRTCCAAAATCCATGGCCTCCTGGCCAAACTTTTCCCAAATGTTGCTCTTCCCTTGAGGCAGTTGCGGCTGTTATCACTAGCCGAGCAGTGATTGCTATGGAGAAGGAATTGCACCTGCCTGCAGTTTGGGGTGCAGGGGATCCCCACATCCCCAGTGTTAGGGGATCTTTTCCCCCAGTGCCACATCTTCAAAGGTAGAAAAGCCCTCCCTTTTTCAGCCCTTCCTCCTGACTGAGATGGACGTGACGGAGGGAAGAAGTTTCGTTGCTCCTACGGGGAAGATGCTGGGAGTAAAAACTTTTAACAAGGTTCCCTTTGCCGGGGAAAATTAGGCTTGATGCCCACTGTGTCTTGGCTGGGAAGCCTCATGTGCTTCTCTGCATGAGATGTCCCCAAAAGATTTGGAACTATTGCAAGCTGTGAAAAGCAGAGGGGGAGCAGAGCTGTCACCAGAGCTTCCCCTGCACCCCTTCCCCTGCAGCCCTCAGCATTCCGGGTTTATTCTGGATACAGGGGCCTGGAGGGACAGGGACATGCTGTTCTGGTCACTTTGAGATCCTTTGAACCTGGAGTATTTTGAAGCATCTAGGAGACAAAGCTGAAGAAAAGGAGGAGGACTGGCAGGTACCTGCAGTGTTGGGAGCCTTCTTTCTTTTTTTTCCTGCAAATGCTGCATTATTTGGTGTTTTTCATGAACTCCCAGCTCATGGAGCCCCGCAATGTGCGAGACTCCTAGCTCCTGTATCAAGCATGGGGGAAAAGCCAGAGTGTGTGGTCTGAGCAAGCGTGAACCTTAACGCAGAGAAGACCTAAGTGCCAGAGGAGCCCGTGGTGAGCAGCAGCCCTGCGAGGGGCTGCGGGGAGCCCTGCAAACATCGCACCAGACCCTGCTTCCAAAACCCTCCTCTCCGCTCCCTTGAGGGCCATGAGCCTCCCTTTACGTTTTGGGGAGAGCCCAAACCAGACGGGGCCTTTTTTTTATGAGCGCTGCGTAAAGCTGGAGCGGGACTAAGCGGCGTTAAAGAGGTGCTTGTGGACGAGCCCCTCTCGAGCCRCAGGTACCTGTTGCCTCGCCAGCTGGCTCCACGTTGCTGCGGCCTCCTCCTGCTTTATTGCAGCTCTGGGGCCCCGCTGGAGCAATGAAGGGGGGAAGGTAAATGGCTTTTTAAGGACTTAATTTATATTCCATAAAGGTCACTGCTGTGTTGTACGTGAACARGCACGTCTTGCCCGCGAGGCCTTCTGGGCAAGTGGGATTCCCAAAGGAGGCAACATCCTCAAATGATGCTTTTATGGATATCAAAGCAGAGCAAACCAGCTGGCACAGCTTCAGGGGGCTGGAAATTAAATTGTCTTGTTTGCTATTTTTCCTCTGGCTGGTGGCGCAGAAGGCATGAAGAAGGAGACAGAATGTGTGTTAGGCAGCGCTTTTGTCAGTAACCTGTTGACTCTTGTTTAACCTCTGCCTGTTTTTCCAAAAATCCTGGCTTAGCTTCTGGATATGGCCAGCAGGAGCCTCGGAGCTGGGCTCTGATGTCTCAGGAGTTGGGGCGGTTGCAGGTGGTGCTTCTTTTTATCTGCTTTTCACCCCGAAAGGCTGTTTTATAGATGTGTTGGGTTTGATTTGTGTTAACCTAAATTACCCTCTGCTGGCTGATTTGGGGTTTCCTTCACAGGCAGGTTTTGTTTTTGTAGCAAATGGCCCTTATTCCCGGGCCTGTTCATTAAGCCCCTGGGCCACAGCCTGAGCTTTCCGTCCTCTTCTTTCCCGAAGGCCACTCACGTGTGTCCGGCTTTGGGTTACGCTCGCTCCCCACATCCCTCAAACTTCTCAGCAGCACTGCTGTTCCTTAGGCCTTTGGCAGCAGGAGGGCAGCGGGGAGCCAAGCGTGGGGACTGGCACCCACGGGCAGTGCCCAGGGTCACCTGTGCTGCCTCTGTTTGCAGGAAATGCAACCAGTGACAAAGCAGAAGGCAGGAAGAAGGGACGACCCAAGGCCGAGAACCAGGCGCTGAAGGACATTCCCGTAAGCCTCGCGTTGTCTTGTCCCAGGCACGGGCCCCATCCCTCTCCATCTGACTTGTCCTGCCCGGCTGCTCCAGCCAGCTCCCCTCAGGAGCAGCAGATGGTTTAATCCTCAGTACAGCATCGTCTGCAGGATCGGGGCCCCTGTGTCTCTTCCTTGTCATCCGTCAGCAGCCCTGAGCACCTCTGGAAACCTCGGTGTCCCAAGGCTTCTTCCTCTGGAAACCCCAGTGTCCTAAGGCTTCTCCATCCTCCCCTTCTTGGGGTTCTTCCCCACCGAGCTTTATTCTCTCACAGCCATGTTGGGTTTGGTTTAATGATCAGGGAGCACCGGGGAAAGGGTGATTTATTCCCTGCAGAAYTGTGCAGTTTAATTCCCGCACCTGAGCGTGGACAACACACAGAGCAGTTTGTCATGAGAGTGTGGGCATGGGCTGATTTAGTGACCAGATGAAATGTGGGGTGATTAAATCACCCGAGTGACTTGTGGCCTGCTTTATTCCTCACCTGGGTGAGAGCTCTGTGCTCTGGGAGCCCCGGCACGGTGAGTTTTCAGGAGGAACCGCCGGCCTGTAGAGCCCATGTCCAAAACTCCATTACGGTCCCATTTGCTGGCAGGAGCCTGCACGGTCCCAGGGTTTGCGGTGCGGAGGGAAGGGGCTGGGGAGGAGGAGAGCAGCAGCGTGGGGGTCTGATCCGTGTGCCCAGCCCTCTCGAGATGCATCTGCCCGGTCACCAGGGCCCACAGCGCGCCTCTCACCTGCGTCTCTCCTGTCTCCTCTTCCCAGCTCCCCCTGATGAACCAGTGGAAGGACGAGTTCAAAGCCCACTCCAGGGTGAAATGCCCCAATTCGGGCTGCTGGCTGGAGTTCCCCAGCATTTACGGCTTGAAGTACCACTACCAGCGCTGCCAGGGGGTAAGCAGACCTAGGGCTCCGCATCCTTCCCTGAATTACTGCCCTTAGGGCAAAGCCAGCCTTCTCAGGCTTCAACCTCAGTGGAAATGTGAGATTAAAAAAGGGGGAGAAAAGGCAGGAAGGCACAAATGGGCGAGAGGCTGTTTGTGAGATGTGTGCGAGGGGGCCAGGGTCCCTTCAACACTCTGTCAGGTCCAACTCAGAGCTGACCTGGGCCGAGCGTAGCTCTGTTCCAACAGGGAGAAGGGCATTTATGCAGTGTCCTATTTGCATGTCCATAACTTGCACTGTTGTTAAAGGCACTTTGAAATTATCCCTCGGCTACTCGGAGTCAGAGCTTGGGCTTTGATCTAGCTCTTGGCACCTTGTTGCTGCCCCTCTGGGAGCAGCGACCGTTGCCTCCTGTCCAGCATCCACGAAGATGCCTGAGCACATCGCAGTGTCTGTCTCCATCAGGACAAATCTTGTCTCTCTAATGTCACTGACTGTCCCTCTCTGCCCATCCTGCACAGGGAGCCATCTCAGAGAAGCTGACCTACTCGTGCTCGTACTGTGAAGCTGCCTTCACCTCCAAAACGCAGCTGGAAAAGCACCGCCTGTGGAATCACTTGGACCGGCCAGTACCAAGCAGCAAAGCAGAAAACAAAGTGCCGAAGTCCATTGGGAAGAGCAGTGGCAAGAAAAGGTACCCGCTGGTGGCCGGGCTGCTTGGCACTGGTGTGGGGAGGTCTGGGAAAAGGGGAATCATCCTACTTCCATTCCCATGGGCTGGGGAGCGGGGAGAGGTGTCAGTGACGTTTATCTCTCACCCCCTCTTTAAACAAGCCCTCTGTGCTTTGCCCTAGAGCTGCTGAGAGTTCAGCTTGCCCCACCATCCATCCCAAACAGGCAAAGACGGAGAAAGCTGCGGGCCAGGCCCATGCTGCGAACGGCGAGTGCCCGGCGGAGAGCCGGGAGAGCAAGGAGTTTCAGATCGCAGCGGCAGAGGCAACTGCAGCCGCGACACCCACGGCCAAGTCTTCGAGCTGCAAGGATGCCGGGCAGCAGGGAGGCAGCCAGGCCTCACTGCAGGAGGAGGACCCCGAGAGGATGAAGCACAGTAAGATTAGAGCCCGGAGAGCGGCTCCCATGGGAAAGGCCGGGACTCTGCTCTGGGGAGAGCTGCTGCGAGTTTGCTTCCATAAGCACTTGGGTTTGTGAGGGCAAACGGGATCCAGGGACGTGTCGCGGGTGCGTGAGGAGCAGGGCAAGGACAGGATGACGTGGTGCTCCTGCCCCTCGAAGCTTCCTGGCCTCAGGCCATTGCCAAGGGGTGGCCTGAGCTCTGCAGGGCCACGCGCCTAGGCAGCCCTGCAAATCCTCTCCTCTCTGAGCATCTGATCCCTTTCTTTGAACACCCTAGTAATTTTGCCCCCAGCAGTTTCTTGCAGCAGTGAGTTCTGCAGCGAGTTAAAAGCAGTTTGCAGCTGTGGTGGATACGTGTCTGTGAGAGCCGTATGGTCACAAATGGATTGAATTCCCTGCAGCGCAGCAAGCTGCCATCTGTCAGTTCATCTGTCCTAACTGGCCTTGGCAGTTGAAACCCGGGTGCTTCTGGCAAACCCATTTCCAACAGGTGTTGGGGCAGGGTAGGGAGGCTCCCTGTCTGCCACCAGTGCATGGCGGCAGGCAGTGACRTGCTGGGCCAGTTCCAGCCACGGTGCGATGTCACCCTGCTAGTGGGTGCAGAGTGAACCAGCACAGACACCWCGGCTGCCAAAGCTGTTCAGGGGCTGGAAACCACTAGGTGTAAAGCCATAATTTCCAGGTGTTGATCTGGCCTTCCATGGATGCCACCATCTCTCCTCAGCTCTGGGGTGGGAAGCAGTGTCCTCGTACTGTTTGGTGGGGTAGATGCTTCAAAGCCTCTTTATTTCATGGTGGAAAAGGCCCCGGGGGCTTGGATCCCTTCTGGCCACTCTTGGTGTGAACTGATGCGCTGCTCTTGCTTAAGGACTGCTGCAGCCCACTGTTAGCACAGTTATTTGACCAAATCTCTCTCTGTGTTTCTCTCTTTTGAGTCAGGAAGGAAACAGAAAACTCCTAAGAAGTTTACGGGGGAGCAGCCTTCCATCTCGGGGACCTTTGGGCTGAAAGGTAATACAGGGGCAACCCAGCCAGCTGTAGGGTTGTAGCTTCTCCTTGGGGCATAGCAGGGATGCCCCTTCTCAGTGCCGGGCTACCTCTGTGTGCTGGGGGATGTCACACYGGAGAAGCTTGGAAAGGGAAAGGAAGGCAATAGCATCACCAGAACTGCAAACAGCCCTGTGTGCTCTGCACTGGGAGCCAGTCCTGGGAAATGAGGCAAGAGAGGAAAGGACCTGGCCATGTCCAATCTGAAACACAAGATTGAAGAGCTGCTGACACGAATGGTCCATACAAAAGACAAACCCACGCCTGGGATGTAGCAGTATTTCCAGTGGAGTCCAGGAGAATTTGTGCTGCATAGGAAGACTCGGGGACACATCTGTCCCCCTGATCAACAGCATCTCCAGTGCTGGTTATTTTCAAGAAAATGAATTTGAAGGGGAAGAGCTTGACGAAGGGAGAGTGAGAGGGACTGTGACTATGCTCCATAAACCCCAGCATGGGCACAAGGAAGGGAGGAAACCTGGAAAATCCCTGGCATGAGAGCAACAGGATTTGGGCTGGATACGAAATTCATTCAACTGGGGAAATTAGAAGAGGGTTTCCAGGCTCTGGAGGAGGCAGCATTTTCCAGTACGAGTCCTGAGGGAGAGGCACTAATGGCACTGCAGGAACCCATGTCCTCAGCAGCCTGAATGGGAAGCACGTGCTTTGCCCACGCACTCGTGCAAGGAAAAGTTCCTCCTTGCTAGAAGCAACGACCTAACGTTTCCATAGTCCATTAACTGCCTGGGGGGGGAGTGTTTCCCTTTGTGTTTACAAAACACTGCARACTGTTATGACTTTGCCTATCATAGTTAAGAGCTTGGTCCTATGCATAGTCTTGGCAGACCTACAGCTGCCTCGGTGTCCCCCTGTCAGAGATTTTTATCCTGCTAAATTCAGGCCTGATTCAAGCAAGCATTAAATGAAAATTCCTTYCCTCTGCAGGCCTCGTCAAAGCAGAGGACAAGGCAAAAGCCCATCGAGCCAAGAAGCTGGAGGGGAGCACCAACATGGAGGACCTGAAAAAGAAACCTCCAGGAGCTGGTGTGAAGAAGGAAGCAGCTGTGCATTTRCCAGCAGGTGAGGCTGGTGGAGATAGAGCAGGGCAGCAGCTTTTACACGTCCTGGCTGCTCTAGCAGTTCATTCCTGTGCTCTGCTCCAAACCTGTGTGTGGTCCCACCTTTGCACTGCAGCTGCTGGTCCTCACACTCCTCCAAGCCCAGCAGGCTGTTTTGCTGGGTTAATTTTCTACTAGGTTTTGTGAGCTTTAGCACAAGCTAAATGCAGCATGAGACCAGAGCTGGAAGCTGACAGTTCCCATGTGTCCGAGGGCAGACACTGGCCCAAACGTATCTGTGTGGCCATGGGAGCATCCTGAAATGGGTGCCCTGCTTCACTCTAAGCACTGGGAGTTGACAGCCCAATCCTGAGGCTGGCTGCAGTGTGGCCACAATTTGGATCAGCTCCTGGGACGATGACATTTTTCTACCATCACTTCAGGAATGATGCCAGTGGCTTCAGGTGCAGCCCCGTCTTCCCCACGCCTCCAAGGCACAGCCTGCATCCAAACACAGGTTGCTGCTTTTCCCTGGGGAGCTCTGACAGCAGGAGGAATGCAGGATGTGCAAAATAAACACAGCTGCAATGTCTTGCACGGGCTTCAAATTCAAATAAACGTCTCTCTGATCTCAGAGCCGTGCAAAAGCATCCAAATAAACAGTCTTGGCAGGTTGTATCCAGGCCAGGCTTCCCTTGCTGGAAACGTAACGAGTTCTGCTGAGAACACAGTATGAACTCCAGGCCTGGGAGCAGGTTTGGCCCCACGTAGCTTTTATTCTGGGTGTTTTTTAAGCTTGTCACTGCCATTCAAATAAACACGTGGCTGGAAGCTACTATGCCTGTTAGCTCCCTGTGCTTCTGCTGGGAAAAAAAGAAAGCCAGGGAAAACTTTCCAGGCACAGGGTCTGGATGGAGCCAAGACATTCACTTTGTTTTGCTCCCACTAATTGTTTCATTTGGCAGCAGGGAGTTGTTCTAAGCAGGGCAAGATGAGGTGGCCGGGCATCCTAGTGTTTGAGCTCCCGATGTGCAGGCTATGGAGTGGGGTCGGAAAAGCAAACCTCCTTTTCCYTATGAAATGCCAGCAAGTCAGTTAACTGTGCATAAAATGGCCCAGTGACCCAGTTTGTTCAGACAGCTTCAGGACTTGCATGGGAGGTAGAGCTGCAAGTGCCTGGGAAGTTTGTGTGTCTGGATTTGACTTGACCCGTGACTGGGAGAGCAGTTGAGTAATTTTCACCACCGAAGTAGCTTTCAACTCGGCAAGCCATGAGTTTAAAAAGGGCCCTCCTGACGAGCACCCTGGGCAGGGGGTTGTCTCTACTGCTGCGTTGACACCTCTCTCCCCTTGCCAGCAAACCCCGAGGACCAGTGGCAGCGTGAGATCAGTGAGAAGGGAGAAGTCGCCTGTCCAACCTGCAGTGTCATAACCCGAAAAACTGTTGTTGGGCTCAAGAAGCACATGGATGTCTGCCAGAAGGTAGGGGCTTGCTGCACTCAGTCGTGACTCGTTTGTGTTTAGGAGAATGCAGATATCCRTGCTCTTTCAAGCCACGCTCATAAATTGGTATCAGTAGTTCCTAAAACTGGTTCCAGGGCTGTTTGATAGAGTGCTTGCTAGTCATCTAAAGAGAGCTGGCAGCTTCACTTGGGTTCTGATTCACAGAGGGATTTGGGAGGCTAATTTTCATCAATTCTGAATCCCTTTGTGGTCTGGGCCCCTTGTCCCAGTGTCTCCAGCCCAGCTGGGTATTTCTAGTAGCTGACTGAATAGACTGAAGGATAGAGAGATTGCTGGGCTTGTGTCTAATCTAGCCTAGTTCAGAGCTGCAGCTATGGGATTTTACTGTGTGCCATCAGGCAGGATAAATTGTGGTTGAACGAGAGCACTTCTCAGAGAGGCACCAAACCTCCATGTGCTCAGCCAGACTGTCAAGACACAGGAGCTCAGTAATGGCGCAGTGAAAAACTGCGTCCCTGCCACAGCACCATCCATCAGAGCAAGGAATTACATCCTCATCCGTCACCTGGCACGCTGCAGAGCCGTCGTCACCGAGCGCCAACGTGGGATCGATGCCTCCTGCTTGGAAAATATGCAGCTCGGCTTTGATTCCACATTCATTTTCTGTAGATGCCTCCTCAGCCTTTGCCTCAGCAGTTCTGCAGCAGTGGGAGGCTATTATCCCTCTCAAACCTCACATTACACGGGCGCTGGGTGGGATCCTCAGGCTGCTCCCATCCTCCTGGCGTCAGGGCACGCGGCAGCTTGGCCCTTGTGTGCGGGGCCGCCCAGACATCTCCCCTGGCACGCGAGGCCAGCTGACCTGCTGGGCACAGATCTGCGGGAGCAGCCGGGCCTGCCCTCCCCTCTATAAATAGGCACGTGGGCGTTTGGAGGAGGAAATGAGGCTCTCACAGCCTGCTAAGCTTATGACAAAGTGTCGTAACCGCTTCTGCTGCTCTGGAGCCAGTTCCTGCAGGCTCAGGCTGCCTGGAGAGGGCATGACTGCCCCTCTGGGCTATGTGAGCAGAAGCGGCTGCTTCCTGGAGCTGCTCTGCTCTCCATCCCCGTGAGCTGCTGGGCTTCGCAGCACCCCTGCCACTGAGCAGCCTGCGAGCTGAAAGGAAGTGAGGGATAGAGATGGTTGTGGCTTGCAGGATCTCCTCCTTGCAGTCTGGGGAGAAGGCCTTGCTAGGATGTGAACGTGTCATGTTCTTCGGTTCTAGATACAGGAGTAAACACATTTGGCATGTGATGAGTCGGGAAGCTTTTAGCTTCTTTTGGCTTTTTATCTTGTTAGGGCGAATGCTTCAGTCTGGAGCAAAATTAACCACTTGGGGCGTAAGTACTAGTGAGTCACTCCAGGCAACTGCGGTTTGTTCCTCGTTTCCCAAGAGGTTCAGGATAAGGATGGGTTTGTAGCTCCATCTTCATCCTCTCTCCAGCTGAGAGTCCAGACTCAACAGGAACTAGCAAAGGTGGAATGGCAGCCAGGCAGCTGGGATAGGAGCAGGAAATGGACCCAGCCACCAGCTCCCGCTCGAGACATCCTGTCCCTTGGTGCTGGGAATATTCCTCTCCTGAGTCAATAAATCCTGATCCCAGCTCCAACAAAAGTCAGAATCTGCTTACTGACTTTGCAAGTTCCCCTTGTAAATCAGCATGTCTGTGGCTGCATAGCAAAAGAGAGTGTTTTTAGTGCCTTTCTTAAGTTGTTCAGGAAGCCAAGTCAGGGGTCAAGCAGCAGAGTAACGTGAAGCGGGAAGTACTCTGGTGATGCAAGTTCTGTGATTTGTGTCCAGCAGCATCTTAATTCCAAACAGCCCAGACGCCCGTAAGGCGCTTTGTGCACAGGATCTGTCAGAGGGAGCAGGSCTGCAGAGCAGAGCCCGCTGCCGTGCAGCTAGATCAAAGCTCCTTCTCCTCCTTTACCTATCCCTCGAGCAGGAAGACTAAGACACCAAGTCCAGATGCTTCCATCTAACGGGCTTTAAATCTGCATCCAAAATGRAACGTTTTCTGAAAGCAGGGCATGTGTATTTGATTCTGTGACAGTGGTTTTCAGGATGATGGAGAGAGATCTCTGGGCTGCAGACTTGGATTGGGATGGGGAAAGAGGCGCTGAGCTGCCTGCTAAGTCCCACGGCCGCAGCAACAGCTTCCCAGGGGGTTAGAGCAGATCAGCAGCCCTTGGAAAATCAAACCTGTTGTAGCCTCCAATGGTGACTTGCCTCTTATTTCTTCAGCTGCAGGATGCCTTGAAATGCCAACACTGCAAAAAGCAATTTAAGTCCAAAGCTGGGCTGAATTACCATACCATGGCTGAACACGTCAGCAAGGTAAGAGAGCTCTCACCTCACACCTTCTTTCTTCTCTCTCCCCAAGATCCAGATGCAGAAGATCAAGCAAACAACCTGGGAATAGAGCGAGGACTGGAAAAATAAAACAAAGCTTCAGATTATGGATTGGGCCTGTTTTGAGGCAGATGTTGAATGGCTAAACTCTGCCTTCAAAACTGTGCCTGCACATCCAGCATTCTGCCTTGCACAGATCTYGCAACCCGGTGCTCAAAATTTGTCATGAGGAGAATCTGGCAGGTGCCAGCTTAGATGCAAAAAATTTTAAAAATCTGATTGCATCTTTCTCTGAGMTACCAGGGCAAAGCATAACTGTATTTCTACATGTCCCATGTTTACCAGTTCTGACTTGTCTTTTGCCTGTGCATCAGTGCCCTGCTGTCTAGTCTAGCTGGTGAATTTTCCATGCGGAAGCTGCTCATGGATTTCTCATTTGGCTTTTGAGGGTAAATGCAGGAAATACATGGGCAAATTTGGCATATAACGGAGAGGACATTGGCGTGCAGTTAAGCAATGGAAGATCCAACCTTTTTAACAGGGGGTTCACCCCCCACCAAGGGCAGCTCCTGTGGGGCAGAGGTTTGCACCCACTCCTGGCACAGAGGACACGAGTAAATGGTTGACTCTGTCGCTTCTGTTACTTCCTTGTTTCCAGCCCGTTCCTGTGGAAACCGCTGGACTTGGTGAACAGGAAGAGCGGGAAAGGCTGAGGAAAGTGCTAAAGCAGATGGGAAAACTGAAATGCCCCAATGAGGTATAAGAACAATTCCTGTTTCTTGTTCTTTGCAAAGATGGAAGGAGTGAGTCCCAGTGCAGAGCGGCACGCGCGCTCTCCAGGCTCCCCTTAGCTCAGCTGTGCCCGGCCTGCTGGCTCCCAGGCCAGGGGCCCTCCTAGCCAGAGGGCTGRACGTAGGACAGGTTGGAGAGTGTTTGCAGAAGGGCAGTTTTGGACTCGTGAACTCAAGCTACTGCTCAGGAAAGGGCTCGGTGCTGCCGGCAGCGTCCTGGGCACAGCACAAAAATAAACGGAACGGTCGCAGACAAGTCACGAACAGGTAAAGGGGGCCTGTGGCAGAGCTGTGTCTCTGCGGCTGCTTTGCTCTCTGCACAAAGCAGTGCCGGCCACGCTCGCCTCTCGCTGCCCACCTTGTGGTTCCGCAAAACCTGAGCAGCTTGAAGTGCTGCGGGTGGCACAGGGGACCCGAGCTGCTCCCTTGCACCGCTCTGTCCCCCACGGGTACTGCTGTCTCTATGGCTGTTTGGGGAAGAGCAGCTGCACAGCAGCAGAGAGAGCGTGGGCTCTGCAGGCGGTGGCATGGGACAAGAGGCCCTAGCGTGGTGGCTCTCTGCAGGGYTGGCCAGGCTGGGACAAGGGCTCCAGGCCCAGGGGAGCACGAGGTTGGGGTGCCATCCTCACACTCCGAAATGAAGGAGCCAGAAAGACACTGCCAAGACCTGGTGGAGCAGCGGCCTTGGGCCGGGCCTGTCGGCTGCAATACCCTTCGCTTGAAGGGGACGGGCTTCACGGAGCAGCTTGGCCGGGAGCTCCTCGGGATGTTCCTCCCTGCCATGCAGGCAGCAGGACCGCTCCGACATGGGCACGCCAAGCCGTGTCCCCCCCAACCCTTCTCTTCTCCCCACCTCCGTAGGGTTGCGTGGCCAACTTCTCCAGCCTCATGGGCTACCAGTACCACCAGAAGCGCTGCGGCAAGCAGCTCGCCGAGGCCGACAAGCCTGTCTTCAGCTGCCCGCACTGCGCAAAGAAGTACAAATCCAAGGCTGGCCACGACTACCACGTGCGGTCGGAACACGCGGCCCCCGTGGGCCCCCCGGACGCCTCCGCGGCCCGAGGACCGGGGCCATCCTTACCAGGGGGTGACTGCAGAGCTGCAGAGCCCGCGGGCAGGACTGAGCCAGGCAAGGCAGGTGCAGACATCGAACTGATGGTTTTTTCCCCTACCATCACGCTGAGCATGTGTTGTAACTTGTGTCATCGKTGGGGAACCAGCCATGGTCCCCTTTGTCCCTCTGAGAAAGCAGGGACATGTATTTAAGTAAGGGCAGCCGTGCCCTGCTCTRGAAGGCTGTGCTCCCACCCCGGAGCCTGCCCTGGGGAGGAGAACCCATCTCGTCTGCCTTGGTTGTGCCCTGCCTGACTCCATCTCTCTTGCAGCCTCCAGAAGAGCCAGAGGTGAAGCCAGAGCCCCCTCCCGTAGAAGATTTTGAAAGGACTCCAAGTGGCCGCATCCGTCGCACGTCGGCCCAAGTGGCCGTCTTCCACCTTCAGGAGATAGCGGAGGACGAGCTCGCCAGGGACTGGACCAAGCGGAGGATGAAGGATGACCTGGTACCTGAAACCAAGCGGGTGAGCAGCCTTTCTTCTTTTTGTGCTGGCTATACACAGGGCTGCTGGGGGGGACGTTCGTGCATCTCCTTTTCTGTATATTAAGTGGATTGGTGGTGGCAGAGACAGAATGGTTGCTAAAGAGCTCATCCAACACCGGCTGCTGCCCAACGCTGCCTCCACTGCTCTGGAGCCTCCTCGCAGCAGCTTTGCCCCTTCCACTGCCAGCACCCAAATGAAATGGAGCTAAATGTGGTGCTAAATGTGGTGCCGTGCAGGCAGCGGAGGGAGCAGAGGTCATGGCGAGAGGGACTTGTGACCCATGGGGCAGGCAGGGCTGGCAATCAGGAGCAACATGTGGAGAGCCTTGAATCAGATCTCTGGAGACCTTCAAAACCCACCTGGATGCCATCCTGTGCCACATGCTCTAGGTGTCCCAGCTCGAGCAGGGGAATGGAAAATCATTGGCACAAAGGCTGAATTTGAGTGGAAGGGCCTTCCTGCTGCCCCTGCTCTGGCAGAAGTGCTGCATTCGTTCTGCAGCAACCTGGAGGAGCTCAGCCTGACTCCGTGCCCGGGCTGYACACAGCGGGCAGGTGAAAAACTGGCACACAGACAGGTAGCATCCTCCTTGTGTGCCCCATCATCCCTGCAAGGCAGTCTCCACGCRACTCTCTTAGAGGAGGGCTGGAGATTTTGGTGCTGGAGCTGGTGGAAAACGTTTTTTCCCCCCACACTCCGTGTTGCTGGTGGGGGAAGAGTTTGATTTCCAGATGACTTCAGCTGAAATGCATTTATAACCTAAAAAAGTCAAGCCCAAAGTAGCTGTTTCATTTCAAAGGCTGTCTGCAGGCCTCGGGGAGGAGAGGTGCTCTGCTCCCTTCTCCCCGCTGCAGCCTCCACACTCRTGTTCTTCTCTCCTCCTCGAGTCGCTCCCCTTGCTCTTGACTTTGGGTATTTGGTGTTTGAGCGGAGGGAGCAGCCAGGAGTCCCAGGCCTGGACAACGGGCCCATGTGTGAGCTGGCACAGAGACATTGTAAAGGCTCCAGCCACTGGCACGACTGCTCCATGAAATGCTCTTTGGTTTGGTTTTTTTTTTTTGCTTTTTTTTATGAGACATTTCTTGTGTTCAGAGTCTAATTGTGTAAGTTTAATGTGAGCCCCAACTCAGCGCTGAGAAACAAAGAACACTGCAATGAGATTAAGGGCGGAAACAGCTTTGCCTTGAAGAGGAGCAGGAAGGAGGGGTTAGACTAGGTCCCGTGCTGCAAAATTAGGCCCTTGATCTGGAGGGTCGGGACCACAGTGTGCGCGATGGGCAACGCTCGCCGCCTGCTCCGGCCTTGTGTTGCACAGATGGATTTCCAAGGAGGTCAGTGCATTGGGAAAACGCGTGTGTGGCTCTGCGTGTGTCTAGCAAAGGCTGTCRGGTCCACTTGACAACACTCTAGAGCATAATCTGCTCAGTCTGGGGCGTTTTACTGCAGAAGCAGTGCTGGAGCATGACGTTTTTGCTCGAGGAACAGCGTTGGGGGCGGCAGGAGGCAGGTTCGTCCCGGGAGGCTGGTAGGAGCTTTGYGCGCGCTGCGGGTTCAGCGCTGCGTTCTGAGGAGCCACTTGGGACTGGTCTGCAGTGCAGAGCCCCTTGCTTGCGGGTGTGGGAGGCCTGAGCAACTGCAACATGGCAGCGAACGCCCAGACGGGTGCAGTTACGGCCCCCAGAATTGCACTGTTCTGAAAAGGGACTCCAGCCTTCGTGCCAGGAACGCTCTGTTGCGGGTCTGGTCCCTGGGGGTGCGGGAGGATCGGAAAAACAGGCAGTGTCCCCACACCAGGGCATTCCTGGTGGCCAGTGCTCCCAGGAGCCAACAACACAGAGCTGCTGGAGCTGTGGGAAGACGAATGCCCGTGAGGTGGGACCAACCACGTGGAGAGGAGGCAGCACGCGGTGCCTCCCATGGCCCTATCTGCAGGAAGGTGGGATGTGTGCAATGGTGCCGGCTGCTGCTGCACCAACAGTCAGCTCGGCAGGACCTAGGGAGCACCAGGGCTTCTTCTCACCGTGTCAGAGCAAAGCCAGCCTGTCCCCAAGCTCCGCACGCTGTGCTGCCACCACGGTCCCCGCTCCGAGGGCAGCCGATGAAGGCGGCCCCCTCTGCCCTCCATCCCTCCTCCAGGCAGCAAGGCTTTTCCTTGGAGCAATGTGGTATGTGACAATACCCCCCGAAGCCTGGGGGGAAGTCTGGCAGCTCCTCGGCAAGACGACGGGATCCTGCAAGCTCCAGCGTCTCCAGATCCCACAAGCTCCAGCGTCTCCGGATCCCACAAGCTCCAGCGTCTCCGGATCCCACAAGCTCCAGCGTCTCCGGATCCCACAAGCTCCGGCGTCTCCAGATCCTGCAAACTCCGACGTCTCCAGATCCCGCAAGCTCCGGCATCTCCGGCGCTCCGTGGCCGTGGCACTGGGCTCCTGCATGGCCCACATCTCCCTGGGCGGCAGCTGGTCTCAGCCGGGGAGGGCGCTTGGCCTCGGATCCCGCTGGTGGCCGTGGTGGGTTCCCGTTTCCCCAARGGCTGGATTCCTTCGCACCAAAGCAATGGCAGCGGAATAAAGATTGCTGTGCGGATCCCAGGCTCGCCGCTGCCTCCCTTCTGCACTAACCAGATCCAGCATTTCTAAATATACACTGGAGTCTTATTTTCTCGCTCCGATCTTTATTTGCCTCTGGATAAGCTGAACCAGATGGGGTGTTTCACAACGGCTGCTTGCTGGGGATGTCAGATGGGGAAGGGCAAATCCCCTGCTGCTTTTCTGGGAAAAGTCCCCCTTCCAGAAGCCCTGTGAAGATGTCAATCCTACAACCCTCCACTGGCCTTTGCCGGGGCTGAATGGGCATCAGCTCTCTGTGGGCAGCCTCCAGTCTTGCCTTGATCCATGGAGAGAAGATCTGGGCTTTTGGAAGGGGAGGCCACCAAGGTTCCCGGGTGCCACGACACGAGTGGGCGGCTGCAGCGGCCGTCAGCGTGGTGATTGCTCCGGTCTCTGGCAGAGGGAGTGATTTTCCTGCCCGTTTTGGGGCATCCAGTGAGAGAAACAGCCTCCTGGAGCAGAGGGGAGAAACCTCTAGCAGATGTTATGGGAAAAGTCGGGAGGAAATGCAAGGCAGGAGAAGATGCCAAGGAAAATCCTGTGATTTCATGGCTTGATGCGTTCCCGGTGCCCACATGGCTGCCGGGGCTCTGGGGTTGTCTGCTCCATCCCGGCCTCGCCACGGCTCCTCCACAAGCGGGATGTGCTCCTGTGTGCTGGGAACGTCGTCCCGCTCCGACTGGCTCCTCGGACCGCCCAGGGCTGCTCAGACAACGGAGGGGCAGTTGGTGACGCTCCAGGAGGGCCTCGGATAGGGATGTATGGAGAGGAGGGTCCCGAGCGTGACCCGTTTCCAAGCCCGGGGGCTCTCGGGCGGCTGGGGCTCCTGCTGAGCCCCTGGCTGCAAAGCCTTGGCAGACCCGGGAAGATGGGGTTGTTGGCAACAAAGGCCTCGTGCCGGCCGYGTGTCAAGCAGAAAGGCAAAAGTCTTCTTGGCGCTTGGCTTTCTAAACAAACCTCCTGTGGAACTGGGCTGAATTCGGGAGCGGAGGAGCCTGGCCAGCGCCGGCCCCCGGACCATGGCCCTGTGATCTGGGCACAGGCACCAGCGCCCGGCGCAGCCCCGCGAGCACCGACCACCGCGGCCACACTCGGCCCGAGCTGAAGCCTCCAGGTGAGACCCGGCCTCTGCCCTTCCCTTTCACCGCCTTGGGAGCTGCCTTGGTGACGGTGCCGTCCGGAGCGGCGCCCCGGAGCCGCCGACAGCGCCAGCTCCTGGACCTGTTCTGCCTTTGCTTTCCAGACAAAATTAGCTGTGGATTCCCAGGACCGGGACCACCGGGCGATCGGAGCGCCGGGCTGTGCGCTCGGAGCCTCCCGGACTTAACGGGCCTGCTCCCATGGAGGCCTCTTGGCCTGGGCCGAGGCAGCCTGCATGGTTCTCATTTACCGCGATATATTTTGGGGAAGGGGAGAGCTGTCTAGGGAGCCAGAGCATTGAAATATGAAAGTTAATTGAATAAAACTGTCAGTCAAAGAAAACAAGCCTTCCCACCCCAACATCCTTCGACTGTTCAGAAGAGATGGGCTGGGGCCAAAAGCAGTTGTAGGCGTTTAATGATTTGGCCATGCGGATTTTCACTTACAGCCTGTTTGAGGAAAATGAATGGAAAAAAAAAATATTCCATGCCTGAGGCTCCTTCTTAATAGAGACATAAAGATGACTTTGACATTCCCAGAACCGCAGCGCCCCAGGAAGAGAGGGATTTGCATGTTATTGTGCAGAGCCTGTGGGAGGAGAGCGGGAGGGATTTTTCCCTGGAGTGGGAAGCCAGAGCAGCGGAATCCGCCTCTCTGAACATCCCCCCTTCCTCCTCCCGGGGGACGCGCGGAGGGAGAGGTTGTTGCTGGGGCTCTGTGCGGTTACCATTAACGTTTGCTCATTCCTGGGATTGATTGGCTTTTAATTACGGAGGCCGCTTGGCATCCCAGCCCTCGGGATCAGTGACAGAGAGGGGCTGCTGTGCTGTCCCCAGTGGTGGCCCGGGTGCCCATCCCAGCGCCTCAGAGCRCCCGCACATCCCGCAGCGTTCCCGCATCCCTCCTCGGGGCCGCTCCTGCCGCCCGCTCTCCAGGCCCCGCGGCCTTCCCGCTCGGCCGTCCCTTTGGAGCGCTCTGCCCCGCGGAGGCACCTTCCCCGGCCGGACACAGCGTCTCGGTGTGTTCAGGAGCGGCACCGGTGGGAAGGGGASGCTGCCAGCTGCCTCCCCGCGGCATCGGAAGCACCGGCGCCACGGCCCGGGTTMAGGCACGGCTGCCTCTGCCCCTCGCTGCGAGCACCGCTGCTCTGCGCCTCTTCCCGGGAGAGTCCCGAGCAGGGAAGCGGCTGCTCGGGCACCGCGTCCCGGCGCCAGCCCTGCAGGTACGGACCAGGGACACGGCTGCAGATGCTCCCCACGCGTCTGCATGTGCTGAACAGGCAGAAACGGAGCCTGAAGGGGCAGCCTGCTATGCTGAGCCTCAAAGTCGCTAATAAAGTAGTAATTAAAAGCACTTGGAAAAGGCAGCGCTGCCAAAAGAAGACACAGAGACACAAGAGTCTTTCATTGTTGGATGGGCTATACCCRTTAATCGTGGAAAGAAGCCGCGGAGGCTCTGCAAAACTTGGCGGCCGGCCCCTGTGCCCGGCGTGCGGGGCTGCCGGTTCTGCCGGTTCCGAAACGCAGAAGGGACCGCGCGGCCCGGGACGTCCCTGCTGGTGCCCGCAGTCCCCCGGCCTCCCGGGGAGCCCAAGGGCTCTGCCAAGGCCGGGACGGGCACGTGCCGCTCTGCTCATGGTGCTCTCTTGTTCGCAGCTCAATTACACCCGGCCAGGACTTCCCAAGCTAAATCCCAGGCTCTTGGAAAACTGGAAGAGTGAAGTGAAGGAGAAGGGTCACATCAACTGTCCCAACAACGTAAGGACTGTTTCTATTCTCCTGCAGGCCAGCCTGGTTGCAGGCTGGACTAGGAGGGGGAGTTTTGGGGTAAAAACCCACCGAGGGCGGGTGTCACTGGGCCCCTGGAGGAGGCTGCCGGTGACACTGTGGTGGGTTTGGTCACTGCTGAGACACCCGTCTCACCAGCTCTCCCTGTAGTTGCTGYTGTGACTACTTGAAGCACATCCCGTGCTCAGGAACCTGCCAGCGCTTCCGAGGGTTCGGAGAGGACCAAGGCGCAGGGACACCCTGTCCTAGCAGGGAGCGGGTGTCCGGGCTGGGGTTCAGCCTGGGGTTCCCATTGGGGCTCTAGAGCTGCCCTTGGTCACCTCCCRAGACGGGGACAGAGAAAAGGCTGCACTGCCTGTGCTCAAGGGCCTTTCTCCCTGCAGCACCTGCCCCTTGCAGGCAAAGCCGAGCCTGGATTTCGGTCCGTTTCTTGGCACACGTGGCTAGCCCCGGAGCGCGGGGACGTGCCGTGTGTGCCGCATCGCGCTGCGAAACGCAGCCTTGGCCCCAGCTCCCAGGGAGGTGGACTCCACCCGCACGCTGGGCCCTTGATTTACAGTCTGAAACAAAGCCTGGGGAATGGGAATGCTGAGTGGGGCTCTTACCGCAAGGCCGGGGGAGCCGCGCTGCCTAATTAATGTCACACACAGGCACTTTGAAAAGACGTTGCTCAGAAACGGGTCATGCTGCTGCCCGGGTGATTTCTCTTCTCCGTTAAGCGCCTGCTGTGGCTCCAAGAACTCCCGTAGCCCAGCAGGGCCTCCTGGCTGCTCGCAAATGTACGTTTTCCACGGAGACGTTGAGGGGAGACATTTTTCAGCCCGTTGCAGAGGGATGTGGCCACATGACTCCCATTAGCGCTAATAGGAAACGTGTGACCAGAGCCCTCTGCCTCTYGCAGAGCATTAACCTCACGCTGATTAGCCTGGACCCGTGGCCTTGCTGGCGCAGGAGGCTCCTGGCCACAGGGTGGAGGAAGGCAAGGAGATGATGAGGCAGAAACGTGGCAAATCCTGTGTTTTTTTCTTTTTCCTGCAGTGCTGTGAAGCCATTTACTCCAGCGTCTCCGGGTTGAAAGCTCACCTGGCCAACTGCAACAAGGTAGGTCCCGCGTCTTCCAGCTTTGGCTCTGACAYGGTGGCGAGTCTCGTCTTTTTCTGCCCACTTCTCATTTGGAAGAAACAGGCCAAGGGAGTAATGGCACGGGTTAAATGTCACAGCCACCTTCCTGCAGCTGCCCAACACTGCCAGGAATGGATGGAGGACACATCCTGCATGCTGYTCCCAAATCCTCCCAAATCCTCACAGGACTGCTCTCTGTGCCGTAAGCCCTCAGCTCAAGGCAGGGTAAGGGGCCCATGGGGAGAGCAGGACATGAGTTGCGGCCCTTTGAGCAGTTGCACCATCGTGGTCTGTGGTCTGGGCCAGCCACTCACCTCCACACCAACCTCCTGGGCAGGACAGGGCTGGGCCTAGCAGGTGCCAAGGAGGGAATTTAGCTCCTAAAGGAGAGGTCTAACCCGTGCAAATGTCCCTCACCAAGGGCTGAGACCCTCAGCACTGCCAGGGCTGCAGGAATGGGGACTCTGATGGCAGCAGCTCCCCAGGATCCTGCCACCCCAGCAGGGTGAGGCTGCTGCTCCAGCTACCGAACATGCATCAAACAGAGCCAAGCAGGAAAGCTTGGAAACTGAACCTTTTCCAAGGGATGTGGAAATGGAAGGCCTTTCTGGCAGCTCCGTGTGGGATGTAAGAGGCCAGGGGTCCGTGCAGGGCTACAGTGCCCACGGATACTTGCGCGATTCCTCTTACCAGGCAGAGCAGGAATGGGCTCCAGCAGCTGCCGCAGCAGGAGGCATCAGGAGCAATGCATAGGTCCCTCGAGCTGGGACCCGGTAAGAGCTAGGAAAGCTTTAAACCCTGAAACACTTCCAGCTGCCGCTTCCATTGAGTGTAGCTTCCAGGAGGCAGCCCCGGCACATGCCCCGTGGTTATTAAAAACACAAACTCCCGCACTCCACCAACACTAGCTGGAACATCAACTCCTAACGAGCTCATTTAAATAGGCTGCAGAGATGCAGCTGAAGATCCAGCGGGGTTGATGCAGGATAAAAGTGCAAACACGGGAGACTACAGCAGTTCCTTGGCAGAATCAGGCAGCCACGAGCAAGCAGCCCCAGGGCAAAAGGAAGATCTGAGGGGATCTGAGCACGGCACAGGCCTGCGTTAACCCCGCCTGGCATGGCCTGGTGTGCCYGGCTCCTCCACACGTGTCCTTGTCACCACTGCAGGACCTGCATGCAGAAAGCAGCCGGGCATTTGCACAAGCAATTTATTTATATTTTTATATCAAAATTTGTATTTATATAAAATATTTGTAGATTTATTCCCTACTTTAATCGTGGCTGCATTGCCCTGGTCGGGCGAGCCCAGCATAGCCCATTGGGGACACTTTGCTGTGGTCACCCTGAGTTTTGCTAATGCAACGAGTTGAGCTCTGCAGTGCATACGTGCCAAAGCAGAGTGACTCGCACAGCCCCTCTGGAGCTGCCGTGAATGAGCTTTTCTGTAAAATCCCCAGTCCTGGGTGAAATACATGGAGTGCTAACAAGGGGGAGAGGCTGCCAGGCACTGCCCCATCCTCGGATGGGACTGAGATGCTGAGGGGATCTTTACATGAGCGCTTATGAAGGCGATTTGCAGCGGGCCCGAGCCTGCCTGTTTAGCAATGAAAGGCCTGTCTAAGTGCAGATTTACAGCACAGACCCAGTTCTGGAGGAATTCCCACTGATTATATATATATTGCCCGCAGGGGCCCATCCATAACCCCCTAGTCAATTGAGAGCCCATTAACCCCCCGGGCCGTGAACTGCGGCAGCGCGGAGAGATCCGTCACCCTCCCGGGGGCTCCGGCGACAGCAGCCGCAGCCGCTGCCTCTTTCTGACAGCGCAAAGGGAAAATTAGGTGAGGCCGTTGGACATAAATCAGCTGCGTGCTGAGTGCCAGGAGATGGCAGATTTGCTGGCAGTGGGGCCACGGGGCGCTCGGCCACGCAGCGACTGCTGTCGGTGATGCACGGGCAGTCAAACTCCCTGCTCCGTGCCCCCGAGCCTGCAGGAACCGSCTCTGATTCCTGGTTTTCCCGCTGTGCCGCTGTCGGCAGCCATGTTGCAGCAGTCCGGGCGGAGAGTTGGAGCTGAGACCTGCTGCGGTTGTGACACCCAGCCCGGGGATGGCAGGGCTGCAAGGGGGGTTGTTTTCCATACCTTGGTGCCTCCTTGCCGGAGCGGCGGGCACCGAGCTGCCCRGGGTGCCGTGTCTTGCAGGGGGAGCACTCGGTGGGCAAGTACCGCTGCCTGCTGTGCCAGAAGGAGTTCAGCTCCGAGAGCGGCGTCAAGTACCACATCATCAAGGCTCACTCAGAGGTGAGGACGTGGCTTCACACCAGCCCCGCTCGGTCGCCCTGCGTCCCCTGCGTCCCGTCCGCTCGGGCGCAGACCCAACACATCTTGTTGTKGCCGAGGGGGGAACTTGCTGGCACCATTGGAGTCTCCGAGCCCCCCTCGGCACCACCGGCTCCTTGTCCCCGAGGTGTCCACCACCCATCGGGCRCCGTTCGGGAAGCGGGGCTGGAGCGGCAGCGCTCGGGCCATGCTGGCCGAGGAGGGTCCCTAACCAGCCGCCCCTTCTCCCCCCGGCCACAGAACTGGTTCCGCACCTCCGCCGAGGCCAGCCGGAAAAAGAAAAGCAGGGATCAGCTTTCTTCCACCAAGGAGGAGAAAAAGAAAAGCACAAACGGGAAGAAAAGGGGGAGGAAACCCAAGGAGAGGCCTCCGGAAATGTCCCTGAAAGGCAGAGAGAGCRCGGCGGCAAAGACTAATCACAAGAAGGCGCCGGAGCCCTGGGAAGGCTCCCGCGGCAGCCCCGGCGGGGAGGAGCGCGCGCCCAAGGCCCCCGGCCCCCGCAAGGCCGGCGCCACCAAGATGCCCGAGAAATGAGCAGCTCAGAGACTCGTCTCCGAGGATTCGTTTACAGCCCAGGGTAACAGGGTGGGGGTCGCTCCCGGTTTTCTGTCCCCCCCACCCCATCCCGCTCCCCTTCCCTCCTTTCCCCCTCCCTCACCCTCCACTCACCCCCTTTTTACAAAAAAAAAAAAAACCAGAAAAAGACAAAAAAATACCAATTAACCACTTTAAGCAAAGTCATGGACCTTGTTTCACACTGGAAAACCAACAGGGTGGAGCAGGCCGGAGCGCTGCCGCCCTCGCTGCCCATGTCCCGGCCCTGTGCCCGGCGCTCCCGTGGCCCTCTGGGGTCCTGCCCCATCCTGCTGTCCCCTGCCCCTTTCCCGGGATTTCCCTCCCCTCTCCCTGCGTGAAACTGGTGCCGTTGAGTGAAAGGGAAGTGCAATAGCAGGGTCCCCCARCCAGGCACCCTCTTCCTGCCGCCCACCTCCATGTCCAGCCCATCCCACAGGGAATCCTGTGGTGGCCTGAGCCTCCCGGCACAGGTGCTGCCTGCATCCCCCAGGGAGACATTTCCAAAGATGTTTGATCCATGCGGGAATGGCCAGGGAGCAGCTGCGGGGAGGCAGGATGAGGCTTTTTCCCGTATGAGAGGCCTGCAGGGATCCTCTCCCTGCTCGGCTGCACTTGCCGGGATTGCTCGCGGCAGTGCCGGGAATGGCCGGAGCGAGGCGGGAGCGAGTGCCGGGCTCCCTGGGAGCAGGGATGCAGGGCCGGGATAGATGCCGGATGCGAGACGGGAGGTCAGGAGAGGTGCTGAGCCCCGACGGGAGCTGCTGTAGGCCGGGTTTGGCGGAGCTGGAGCTTGTGGAAATGCCCTGGGCGGCACTGGGGATGCTGCGGGACAGGCAGAGCGGCACCTCGGCTCCTCGCGCGGGTCCCGGGACGTACGGACGCACCAGCCGCTGCCGCCGGGGCTGGATCTGGCTGCACCGGGACCGACTCTGCTCCCCAGGGAGCTCCGTGATGGGCGGCACCGAGTGACAGTCCAGGGACCTGCGTCCCAGTGAGGCCCCAGCTGGTCCCTCCCACATGGGACAGGCTGCAGCTCCTGGGCACAGGTCCCTGTGCCCCCGAAATGCCCCCGGATGGGGAAGGGGGTCTCGGGAAGATGCGTTTTCCCTGGCTTGTTTTCCACTCCCAGGCTTTTCCTGTGTCCTCCCGCACCGAGAGCACCTCATTGCAGGGCCCTGCCCGGGGTCCATGCCCAGCCCAAACGTGTCTGTGTCTAGACAAAACCAAGGCTACCTCTTCCCTTGGGAAACAGGCCTGTCCCGGTGCTGCCGCAGCTGCCCGCCCTCCGGAGCGGAGCGCGAATCCGAGCGCTGCTTCCCCTCGGCCCCTGCCGCGCTACGGTCCTGGCCACGGGCTGCTCAGCAGGAAGGGCGCGCGGCTCCTCTTGGATGTCCTCCTGAATGGCGCCGTTGGCTTCCCCAGCATCCCGGGGCATCCAGCGGCCGCCCCGGCTTTGCTGAGAGCTCCCAGTTGCGTCGGGCTTTGGAGCGCTTCCTGGGATTAGTGGGAATGCGGGCACGGCACAAGGGCCCCGCGGGGAGAAGAACCCCGAGAAGTCCCTGCCGAGCAGCGCGGGGCGCCGAAGCCTCCGCTTGGGGCTCYCCGCAGCCCCTTGGGGGTGTTTTTCCCCGCAGATATCCAGGAATCTGGCGTGGGAGGTCGCTGCTGGCTCCTCGCTCCGGCTCGCTCCTTCAGGAGCCTGCCCAGGGGCTGGAGGCGCYGCTCCGGGCTACCGCTCCTTGGATCGCGGCGAAGGGGCTGCCGTCCCGCCACGCCGCTCAGGTGAATCCTTCCTAATCCTTCCTCCCGCCCTGCTCCCGGCGGCAGGCCGGCGAGCTCCGAGCATTCCCTCTGCCCTGGGAAAGCCATTAACCTCCCAGGAGGGAGATGCTGCCTAGGAAAGCCTAACGCCTCCCTCCCCAGAGCCTCCCTCCCCTTTCCTTCCCAAATCCTCCTTCCCAGAGGGATACAGCTAAAATTACTGCGCTTTGGGAGTAGCTACTGGTGCCTCCCAGGTGGCCGCAGCCACCGCRCAGACATTCCTGCTCTCCCATCCGTCCCTCCTGCTTCCCGGCCATGGGGAGAGGATGGAGAAGCAGTGGGATGCGGCGGGAGGGCAGCGCCGCTGCCTTCGGTGCTGTTGCATGGAGATGAACCTGCCTAAGGACCCGTCCCGGCTTGGCACCGTCCTGTCCCCTTCCTGCCAGCTGCCCAAAGCCGTAAAAGCCATAAAATCCCTGCCGGCATCGCCACGTGTCCGGCCTCGGAGAAATCGCTGCTCCTTGTGGGTGGCTTTGGATGGTGTCTCCGGGATGGTGTCCCCAGGATGGTGTTCCCGGGACGGTGTTCCCGGGATGGTGTCCCCGGGATGGTGTCCCCGGGATGGTGTCCCGGGATGGTGTCCCGGGACGGTGTCCCCGGACACAGCAAGGAGCAGCCCCCGGGCTGCGAACGGGCCGTGCCGGGCACTGCCGAGGGCATCGCGAGCAGCGCGGAGCCGCCTGCCCCGGGCACCTCGCAGGGCTTGGGGTCACGAGCACCCAATTAATTTGATTCTCATTGATCAGATCAGGGCGCGACACCGTGCGGCCGCAGGGCCCAGCTGCCCTGGCTGGAGGTAAAGTGGGAAAAGGCACTTCCCAAGGAGCATCCTAAGGGAAAACATGGGCAGGAGCAAGTGCTGCAGTGCAGGGTCGCTCGGAAGGAGAATTTTTGTGCTTTTTCCGTGTAAAGTCCTGTGTATTTTGGAGGGAGCTGGGCCGGTGCCCCATTCCTGGTGCCGGGATGGAAGAGCTGCTCGTTTGACACGGCTCCGTGGGAGCCTCACGTGGGAAACTACAGGAAATCCAAATCTTCCAGGGCTCTTTTCCATAAAAGGTATTTTTTTCCCCACTGGGCATTAGTCAAAGAGGGAAACGTTCTCCCCCTGCTTCCTTCTCCGTGAAGAATGAGAAGTTCTGCAAGCAGCATTAGTGAGCCCGGAAAACCAGGGATCTGTTTCATGCATAAGGGTTGTCGTGCGGCCAGAGCCGGCGGCAGGGAAGCGCCGAGCTCGTAGAGGAGACCCCGGTGCTCCGGAATGGGAGGAACCGGTGGACACAGGAGCAGCGCAGGATCCGCAGGAATATTGTCCCGGCCGGGAGGCTTTTCCGTTGGCGCAGGGGGTCCTGGGCAGCGCGGACAGGGCATGAATGGCTGCGTTTTCCGCATGCATCCCAGAGAAGCTCACGGCGCCCGGCGCTCTGGGAGCCAGCAAACTTCCCGCCTTTATTTCCGCACATCTCCAGGGAAAGAGCGCCCTGCTCTTCCCCTGCTCGCTGCCCATCTCCAAAGCAATAACGGGAATCTCGTCTGGGGTGGCTGCGCGGCGCGGACTGGTAAACTGCTCCGCATTTTAGCTGCTCCGCGCGACACTCCTGGGAAGGGCTAAACCTGCCGCGCGTCGGGAAAAACAAGCAGCATCGCCCCCAAATCACCCCAATCGCAGGCAGGAAACGTCGCCGTGAGCCCAGACCCGCACGCAGACAAATTCCCGGCTCAGGGTAGGGAGAATCCGCATTCCGACCGTGTCCTTCTCGCTGTAATTCCCACCGGGACGGATCCCCCTGCGGATCCGCCGGGCGCGGGAGCCGAGCGGGACCCGGCGCGTTGCTGCRCCGGGGCCCTTCCCTTTCCTCCCTCTCCTCGGTGCCGCCCATTCCACAGCATATCCGAATGTTTCTCGTCAATGCCAGTTATTAGTGCATAAGTGTATTTTGGGGAAAAAAA